AAGAATCTTGTCCAGCCCAAAGCTGCCAGGGAAACAGAATTAGCAAAACGGATGGAGACATCCACTCAGGATGTCGTAGCTTCCATCCTGCTCTGCCCTGCCCTTCCCAAGCCTTGGAAGCCACAATGGCAAAGCTCCCAGCTAGTAGGCCTGCAGAGTTCCTATCCTCCACCTCACGGTCTTTCTGCCCTGCCTGAGCCAGTGCCAGGGACAGGGGCAGTGGGTGGGGGTTGCTAGGAACTTGGGAAGCTGATCCCACCTAGAAGGCATGAACCTCTCCCTTGTCCCTGCAGCCTGTGAGTCATAGTGAGATGGAAGATGGAAGCACTTTGAGGATGAAGACAGACTCTGGTTTCCTCTGGCACAGGATTATTCCCAGCATTTAAAGCAAGCCATGCTGAGACCAGCCAGCCTGGAGGCACCAAGACTGAGGAGAAGGCAGAAAAGCTTACACACTCATAGGCCCTGAGGAAAACAGCCAAGGGAGGAGAAAAAAGGGACAGATTGCTGGAAGCTCAGTCACTTGGTTTTGATGACACTTATTTTCCGAGGCCCTCAGTAGCAGCTTCAGACTGCATTGAATGCGGGATAGCACTGTGGGTGGGCAGCTCCTGCCCCATTTGTCCAGAAGAGCAAGGAAAGGCTTCAGCAAGGCCAACACTGCCCCATGTTTTGCCTAACATGGAGGAGGCAGGCACATTCCACATTCCCTCCTCTAGGTCCCCACGTGACTGAGGGTTCTGGCAATGGCTGTCAATTTATCAACCATGAACCATCACATATTGTCTTTAGAACATGGTCTTCTTTGACTGATTTACTTGTGGCTTGCCACTCTCCCTGTCTTGTCTAGGCTCCATAAGTATAGAAACACCCCACGACAACATGGCTCTGGGAACAGAGCCTGGACCATAGTAAACCAATAATGTTTGTCAGTTGGCTGATACTAAGATGGGCTGGGCCGCTCCATCAGGTCCAATTGCCCATTGAGTCCTTGGGCACATAAGGTAGGGTTAGGTGCTTTATAGTCACAGGGTGAGTAAGTTACTTCTAATGTGGCTTACAAAATCTACAAAAGAAAGTGTTTGTCTACATGGAATAATAAACAAGCCCACACTATAGTTGATTAATCTTTAAGGCAGATAACTGACTACATTCTGCCACATGGCAGGCTGGCTCTGTGTGGGACGCTCATAGGGCAATGTCTGCTGCTCTGGGAGATGAGGCAGGGTCACCTCCTAGAGGAAAAGAAATCTTCTTCCTCCCTCTCCCTTTCTTCTCTGCTGTCCTCCTCTCCTCTTTCTTCTGTCTTTTCCTCCTCCCCTTCTCCCTCTGCCTCCCTTTCTTCCTATCTCCCTGCCCTCCTCTAGAGGATTATGGGGTGAGTGTTATCTGAATCTGGCTGAATCTCAGGAATTTTTTTGTGGCTCACCTGTCCAATTCCTGCTGGTTGCCAGTCCTCTCACCTTCACCCAACTGGAGAGTACTTTAAGTGCTGGCATTAGTAATGAAATAGGCTTCCCAATACAGAAGCTGAGAGTATGACCTCAGATGAGGGGCTTGGAAGAAATTAGCATGTGGTACATGCTGGGTAGAGCAGATGCAGCTCCTGTCCCAATTCGTTGGCAAACCCCGTGCCAGGCTCCATGGTACCAGTTGACAGTGATCGAGTGTGGAGTTTGCGATCACACAAGTTGAGGCCGTAGCATTTCCATCAGCCTCCAGAGACCAATAGGTCTTTCTATCTTCTGAGTATCAGCAGGAAGCTTCTAAAAGGCAGCCCAGGACCATTCTGTGAATGTGGCATACTGGGGCTGGGAGAGGGTGTGGCAAAGGAAGAGCAGGGCTTTAGTTCCCTGGTACTTCCAGCTGGCCTCAGCCCTACACTCACCATGGTGGTCACGTGGGAAACACTCTGTGACTCACACAGGGCCTGCCTGTCACTGTCACTGGCTCGATGGGATTGAGTGACCTTGGCATTTGCAGCCTTCGAAAAATTGAGGGTTTTGATGGCCCCTGTGTAACTTTACTTTTAAAAATCCACATGACCTGAGCTATTTTTCACCAGAGGACAGAAATCGAATGTACCGTCACTAAACAGCAATTTCAGCCACTGTTTCCTCCTGGTCACTGAAACCATTTGTCATTTCCTGTTTTCTCCATTTTCCAACGATTCTAATTGTCAGTGTCAAAAGGCAACAACTGTTTTCTTGGGGCTTATCTTTGGAGCACATTGATTTAGAACAAAGGATGGGAGCCTCCGTCTGCAAAACACTGCAAAACAAAGGAAGCGGCCCCCTCTGTAGGCCTGCAGACAATGCCCTGCTTCCCTCTGCCAGGGACAACAGGATTGACCAGGGCAGGAGCAGAGAGAGGACTGGCCCTGCTCTTAGACACCTTGGTGAGGTGACCAGCCCACAAGAGACACCTGTGTGCAAAGATCCTCCAGAGTTGATTACCAGCACTACAGGCTGAGCAAGGATACAACTTGGCTTTGGCCACATTTTCCTTTAAGTTTTGGATGTGCTGGAACTTGTGCTTCTGAGAATGAAGATTCACCATCATGTCATTAGTCCCTATATGGCTAGTCTGGGTAGGAAATGCCCCTTTTCAGCTAGCAAGTGGTATCCAGCACCTACATCCTCTGATTTCAGCTCCAAGCTAGCCTTTCCTTTTGTTTTCCATGTCCATGGGCAGACTTTCTCTGTAATAGGTCCTTTCACAGATTCCTGTCCTCCCTTCCTATTTCTTTGGCTAACCTCCATCTGTCCCATATAAGTGGAATTTTTTAATCTAATGAGGTTGTAAGAGGGGTTGGAGGTGGACTAGGGGTAGATCTAGGTAGAAAGATAGGAGTTTATTTCCAGATGTATGAGGATGAAGGACTCGAAGCCCTGGGTCTGTAGTTAGGAGGCTTTACACATGTTGATCTGAACAAGTCATTTAAGCTCTGGATCCCGAGGTTTCACATTAGGAAACAGTAGACTGTAGATCTGTCCTGATGTCCCCAAGCTGTTATAAGGGTCGTGGCCGGGTGGGGGCGGGGCGGGAGGGAGATAGAAAGAAAAGGGCTGCTTTCAGAAATGGCTCACCCTGCTGGGCACTGCCTGTGGCTCACACCTGTAATCTTAGCTACTCAGGAGGCTGAGATCTGACATTGCTGATTCATAGCCAGCTGAGGCAGACAAAATCAAGAGCTTATTATATCCAACTGACCAGCAAAAAGACCAGAGTGTCCATATGGCTCAAATGGTAAAGCACCAACGTTGAGCAAAAAAGCCAAGTGAGAATGTGAGGTACTGAGTTCAAGCCCAAGTGTACACACACACACACACACACATACACTCCCCAAACAAGAAAGTCTCACCTACTCAGAGCATCTCAGGCAGATGCTGTGGCCTGTGATGGTCATGTGACCTCCACAAGAAATCAAAGGAAATAATGGGTGGGACACGCACGAGACATTAAGCATGCCCCGCCCCATCAGTGCTTCCACAGGAAGAGGACCACTCGAATGATCAGATGATCAGCTGAGAGGCAGCATCCTCCCTCTACCCATAAGCAGCCACCCTCAGCAGGAGGAGGTACAAGTTAGGACAAGAAGCAGGCTAAGGGCAGGATGGAAAAGCAAAGCCCAGTCTGGGGAAATGGCTTCTAGTGTAGTCTTCCCAGTGCCATGTGTTTGTCCTCTCTGCCTTGGCAGGAATTGAAGCCAGGAGCTACTGCCAGGCCTGCAAGCCGGGCACACTCCCAAGCACTGGCCTTCCGCCCCACCCTCTCCCACTCCAGCCACCAATGCAGAGGACGTCTGGGGCCTTTTCTGTCAGAGCAGGCACTTCGTAGGCAGCCCCAGTTAAAGCATGAAGTCTTCTGGCATCTGGAGACACAAGCCAGAAAGTGGTCTGTGGGCGCATGCTCCTTGACACAGCAGCCTTGATGGTTGGATGCTGCCAGGCAGGCTGCTTGAGAAAGGGAGAGCTGGCAGCATGTGAGCAGAGACGTGTGAGCATTAGATTCGGAGTCAAGACCTACAATCACTTGGCTCTGACTTGCTGAGAATCTTACAGTGAGTTGTGCCTTCTCTGGCCTTGGGCCTTTCTTATTCTTACCTGACTGTGTTCCTCCCTTGGCTTCATGAGTGAATCCCAGACTCTGCCAGCCTGAGCCCCTGAGCATAGCTCCTCCCCTTGCTCACATCACAAGCTCTGGGATGTGAGCACAGCTCCTTTCCTTGCTCACATCACAGGCTCTGAGATGAAAACAGGAAGCTCCTCCCTATTCAGCAGGAAAAGAAATTGGTAGTGTCTGGCTACTCTTGGTGTCAGACAGTGTGTCCATCTGTTCGCGTCACTCTCCAGCTGCTCATAGCAGGACTGCCCAAGCCTCAGCAGTACTACCCACCACCAAAGAGCCCAGTGTCTGTTCTGCTCCAGCCACAACATTGGATTGTCCAGTCTTGACTTGTCTGGGAAATTTGAAATCCAGTCCCTACTCCTATTGTTTATCATCCTCTGAATGTAGCTCATATGCCTGGATCTCCCTGAGACGGGCATGCCCAGATACCTATTGGTACTGGGGGCATGGTTCTGGCCAAGGCAGAGTAGCATAGGACTGTCACCTCCCTCCTTCTACATATTCTGCTTCTAATAATGCAGCCTAATATTACATTTTTTTGATGATCACGTCTCACTGCTGAGCCATCCTGAGTAGATGGATATCCGAAATGCCTCACTGTTTTTCTATGTGCTCTCGCTATTAAGCTCTGGCCCTCCTGCTCATCCTATGCTGTTGCAGTTGTTTCTCTTAACCCAGGCACAGAATCTACTTGTATTTATAGCTGTGGATCTTGCTCGGGAGGGTGGGGCATGCATGCAAGTGTGTGTTGATGTGTTCACTCATGCTTTTGCTGCACCAAAGCCAAGTCCTAGGTCCCCATACAGAAATCCAAGGCTAATAGTTCTGTGTGGCTGTAACCTAACATATCTTTTCAATCTTCCATTTAGCAAGAGAAGCAGAGATCAGGTCTTACGGCAATGACCCCTAAACAGTGGAGTGAGCATATCGCCCAGCAAATGAGTCCATTGCAAGGTAAGTGGTTAAGATCAATGTATCCAAAGTAGCCAGTATGAGGAAGGTGCTTATGTGCAAGTGTGTGAGAATTCATTTCCCAGTAGGCAATTGCTATGTGTGATGTGAAAGTACTGAGAGACAGAGAGACAGAGAGAGAAGAGGTACGAAAGCCAGTTAAATGGTGTCCAGATAGTTCATTCATATTGGCAGCCACCTTTAAGAAGGCTTGGTTCTTTTTGTTGTTGTTGGTTGTGGGGCTTGAACTCAGGGCCTGGGCATTGTCCTTGCTCTTTTTGCTCCAGGCTAGCACTCTAGCACTTTGAGCCACAGCTCCACTTCTGCTTTTTGAGGGGTTAATTGGAAATCTCATAGACTTTCCTGCCTGGGCTGGTTCTGAGCCACGATCCTCTGATCTCAGCTTCTTGAGTAGCTAGGATGACAGGCATGAGCCACCAGTGCCTGGCTGGAGGCCTGATCTTAATAGTTCCAAAAATCGGGCTGGGAAGGTGGCTCAGTGGCAGAGCGCTTGCTTTGCATGCATGAGGCCCTGAGTTCGATTCCTCAGCACCACATAAGCAAAAAGAAAAAGCCGGAAGTGGCGCTGTGGCTGAAGTGGTACAGCACTAGCCTTGAGCTGAAAAGCTGAGGGACAGCACCCAGGCCCAGAGTACAGGCCCCACCTCAGGACCCCTCCAAAAAATAGTCCCAAAAATCACTTTAATTCAAGAGATTGACTGGGCTTAGTCGGACCTTTTAAAAGCCACTCTTGTCCATGGGAGGGGACCAGAGTTCTTAGCCTAACCTTTCCTCACACATGCACTCTTATTGCTAATGGGTTTTGGGGTATTCTGGCAGGTATGAGGTATATAAAAGGGGGTCCAAGATGCTCCCCCTTAGACAGTCTATGCTGAGGCCTCCCAGTGCCTCTACAGATAACAGGAATCCATGTCCTGCCACATTTACTGGCTGAGGACAAAGCAGTTACCAGTGGTCAGGCATGGCACCTACTTCATGGAGCTTGCAGACTGGGCAGGGAAGCTTTAAGTGAAGCAGTCATTAGAAGCCATGGCATGATCTTGGAACAAACCAAAGGGACAATCTGAGGCTCTTGGCAGTTGTCCTCTGTCCCTCAGACAATGTCACCTGCCACATGATTGTCCCTGCATTCTCTTCCAAAAACCCCTGTCCCTTTGGACCTTATACCCACCACACATCTGTGTCCTCTATCCAGGGTAGACTTAACAGTCAGGCTTCATCTTTAAAAGTGACAGACATGTTCCACAAAGTCTGATCTTGGTAGAGGGTTAGTCTTAGGAGACCAATTAAACCTAACCAAAAGCCTTCACACTTTCATGCTAAGGAAAAATCCTAGGCATACTTACAAGAAAAATAACGCCACTCATCACCATAAGTAGACTGTGGTGGCGGGGGGTGGGGGGGGAGGCGGGGTCATAACAGGCTGGGACTAACAGCTCACACTTCCTGTTCCTGCTTGACCTTGGGCAAACTTCATGATAGACAGATATTTCAGGCTTCATACCACAAAAACACCAGCAGATACCAGCCACAGCTGAGAGAAAACATTGTCAGAATTAGCACCTAGGTCCCTTTCTATCTACCACTCTTGTTTCTGCAGTGCAGTTACTCCCAAGCAATCCTAGATTCCAGCCTTTAGAAAGAAACCCCAAACTGGCACCAGTGGCTCACACCTGTAATCCTAGCTACTCAGGAGGCTGGGATCTGAGAGTAGTAGTTCAAAGCCAGTCCCGAAAACCGGAAGTGGCTCTGTGGCTTAAGTGGTAGAGTACTCACCTTGGGCTGAAGAGCTCAGGCACAGCTCCCAGGCCCAGAGTTCAAGCCCTATGACCGATTTCCCCCCACCCAAAAAAAAGAAAGAAGGAAAGAAAAAAAGAGAAAGAAACCCTACTCTAGTTCAGATCTCCACATATGGGAACACAGAGGCGGCCACACCACTGTCCCCACCTCTTACCCCACTCATCAGACAAAGATGCTGAAGCAAGCCCATGCCCTCTGCAATCGGACAGACTGAACCTTCTTCCTCAGCCCTTTCCTTGGGTACCTCCTCCTTGCCCTCCCTCCCTTTCTCCTAGTCGTCCTTCGTTTCCTTCCTTCCTTCCCTTCTCTCTCTCCTTACTTTTCCATCCTTCCCTCTCTCTTCTTCCCCTCCCTCCTTCCCTAATTTCTTTCTCCTCCACTATAAAATATATTACAGCGGGCAGAGGCAGTTGCCAAACCCTTGATACACAGCACTGAAGGTCAAAGCCGATGTCTTCCGGCCTCCTGGAGCTTCTAGTATGCTTGGGAAGCTTGCTAGGTCAGGTGGCATTTCAAGCCCAGCAGAGTAGGGGTGCTGTGAATATAGACCAGGGAGGTATGGGACAGTGTCCCCAAAGTCCTGTGTTCCAGGCTGAGGACATTTGAGTGGAAGGAAGGTACAGGGGAGGCCTAGTAGGGAAGTACACAGTGGGAGGTACGGTCAATGCTGGGCATGCAGTGTCTGTGCTAAGCTGAACATGCTTTTGAAAATCACCCTCCTGTCTCTCTCCCTGTAGCCGTCCAAGAACAAGTCACCTCCAAGTGTAGCCAGACCAAGGCAACCTCCCCAGCCAGCCAGAATCTGATGCCACCCAAAACTGGGGTCCTTCTGAACAATCTGAGTCCAGGAATAATGCCATTCACCAGGCACCAGAGTCCAAATGGCATGGGTATGATCTCATCAACTCTGAGGAAGCAGCAAGGAATATTCAACTGCAGTCATCAATATCATATAATGTCCAGCTCGGGCCACTCCCCCTTTGACAGTCTTGGCTCTGTGTGCCAGCATCTACAGAGTCCCAAGGCCAATTCCCCAGGAGTGCCCCTGAGCAAGTTCCATCCCAGGCCTCCCACCAGCCAAGCTCTAAGTCTCCACCAGCGCAGGCTACCCCATGTGGCAAGAATACCCACTGTGTTCAACAGTGCTACATGGGTGGTGGCAGCGGTATCTGAGACCACAGTGGTTTCAAATGTAGATAACAGCACCCACCAACCTGTGGGTAGCAATTCCATTTTTGCCAAGGCACCTGTGAGCGTGCCCCCACATGCGCCGACATTTCCACTGCAGCAAACGGCGATACAGCCCAATCAGGTGGCCCCAAGAGGCAGGCCTGGCCAGAAGGTGAGTAGTGCCCTGGCCAATGCCAGTTTTGGCCTGTTGGGCAACCACAATCTCCAACAGAGTCCAGTGCAGGGCCCTGTGCCTGTGCTGAGCACCCCCACGGCCCCCCAGCCAGGCACAGCCCACTCTGCTCCCATGAGTCCAATTCAGGCCATTGAGCCACCAAGCTATATGGCCACTATCATGGCCACCACTGCTGCTGCTTCTGCCATTGCCGCTAGCCACTCCTTGGGTCCATACAATAGAATGGATACAGCCCCTGAGCTGCTACCTGATAACTTCCCGCTCCAGGACCAGCCCCCAGGGAATGGTTCGACTTTGCCCCCTGACTGCAATGAGGTAGATCTCATGGAAACTCTCATGAAAGACCCCAGTGTGGGTATAAATGAAGATTGGATGTGTGACTTAAAGCTGATTGATGATATTTTGGAACAGCATTATGCTGCCCATAATGCCAGAGGCCAGAATGCTGGCCAACTCACCCAGGGTTCTGGGGAGCCTTAAATCAGAGTAGGATACTCCCAGAACCTCCGCCCCCCTACCCCACGCTGCTATGGTCTGAACCCACAGCAAATTCATAACTGGTTCCAGGCAGTCACACTTCACCCCTCCGCACAATTTGAGTAGTGTTGGCCTTGTCCATCCATCTCTCTTCTCTCTACGAAATAGCAAGCTGGTGATTTTTCAAGCTACTTGTACATATTTGAAAATTTTGTAAATGGTTTTCCTAAACATTAATGACAGAAGTATTTATACTTGGTTTTGTGACTTTGTAAATAAAGTGACGGCTTTGGTTTCAATTGGGTTGTGTTCATTCTGCATTGTTTTGTGTTTATTATGCATTGTTACAAATACGCAGACTGTGTTGTTGGCTCTAGTGATGCTTTGTTAAGCCAGGTGGATGAGTCACTATGGTTATGATATGATGAGTGACGTATGTTTGTGTGTATGTGCGCACGCGCGCGTGACCAAGGGATATTTGCAAACTGACAAATGCCAAATAGAAAACCACTTGGTCATTCATTTCCATTTTCCTTAAAAATTCAATCACCGCGTGTGACTCTTAATCTCTTTTGCAAACCTTTCGATCTCTGCTAGCTCTTTCCTGATGAGCATTTTATAGCATTACAGCTTTGCATTGTTAAGTGTCCCAGAGACACTGGTAGTTGGGTGAGAGTGTCCTTTCCAATTAGGTAAGGTGCAGAAGTGACAGAGGTGGCTGGGAGTTGAGCCCTAGCAGAGCTGTCTACCTGAAGGGCTGCACTCATTCATAAGGAAAGAAAGCTCCAGCCCCACACAGCTTCGGTGCACCCCCTGGCCGGCAAAGGGGATCCTGTCCTGCTCTATAGTCTGCTTTAAAGTCCTTTGCATTCAATTTGATGTAAAGCTCTGTGGTTTGGGGCAAACATTTGTAAACATTAATCATTGATTTGGGCTTTGTCTTTGATGGTTTCTATCTGCGATTATTGTCATGTATATTTAAGTGTCTGTTATAGAACACCCACATCCACTGTCCTGTAAACTTTTCTCATTGTCCAGATCTTTGTGTAATCGTATTTTAATTGCCACCTTGTATTTTGATTCTATATTTGCAATCTGGCGCGTTTCCAGCCAGCACTGTTTTTTTTTTCTTTGTTCTGTAATAAACAGCCAAGAAAAAAAACAAGTGTCTCTATTTTTTTTTCATTTTTCCCAAGGGAGCATTCAGTACCTACAGTCCTCCCTCCCTCCATTGCCCCCAAGGCAGCTAAGCCTGCTAGCATCTTTGGTTCCTTCTAAGGCACAGGGGTTATGTTTGAGTAGCACATGCTGCAACACTTTGGCACCACAGTGCATTTTACAGAGGTTTAAAGAGGAAGCAGGTAGCCCTGAAGGTCATTTGATGGTAGGGACATGGACAAGGATTCCTTAGGGTCTTCACTCCACAATCTTCTTGCCGTTGACAAAGATTGTACTTGCCCATCCTGAGCCAAATGCTGCCACCCTCAATCCTGGATGGAGCTAAATGGAATAGCATTCCATACTTTGTTAAAAGCAACATCTGGATAGATGCAAGACAATGAAGACAGTGAACCATGGAAGAGCCATGAAAGTTAAATTCAGGGCTCTGAGACTGCGGCATATCCAGTTACAGACCTAATTTTTTTATTGGTCAGTCATGGGGCTTGAACTCAGAGCCTGGGCTTTTTCAGTCAAGGCTAGCACTCTACCACTTTGAGCTACAGCACCACTTTTAGTTCTCTGGTGGTTAATTGCAAATAAGAGTTCACAGACTTTCCTGCTCTAGGTGGCCCAGGATCCTCAGATATCAGCCTCCTGAATAGCTAGAATTACAAGCATCAGCCACCAGATTCCTACTCAGACTTTTAATTCTTGAGTAAGGGACAATTACCAAGAGTGGCTGGGCCAGGAGTGGCTGTGAGGCAGGTGATATGTCAGCTACCTGGAAAAATGCTTGCCTTTCACAGGTAGCCATAAGGCCCTAGTATTGCAACTAGGCAGGTGAGCACCCCTACAATGTGTGAGAAAAAGGGGCTTCACTTTCCTTCACCCTGTCTCGGTATCAAAGCTTGGGCTAGACCCAAGCACGCTCCTTCTCTGTGATCCTACCAGAAGAGGTCATCAGGGGGGATGTGGGGAGAAGGTCAAAGTTGGCTGGCCTTCTGTGCAGGATACCAGTGGAAGGAGATCAGATTTGTCCCATCCCCAGCTGAGAGCCTATCTTCTCACACATCTTAATTTTTTCCCTTTATATCATGACCTGCTACCCTATCTTACCCCAAAAGGTGGGAGGAAGCTAGTTGGAACACACATACACACACACACACATACATACACACACTACACTACACCATACTACACTAGCATAATAAGCAACAGTGGGATCAGATGTAGTTAATATGTGTTCTGCGATGGTCTGCCATGTCCTGCAGAGCCTAAAAATGCTCTCAGAAGATGCCCATATCCAGCCTTTCATTAGTTGTGATGAAGGGCAAATATCCTAGTGATGGAAGCAACCACTCCAGTCTGTGGACCAGGGAAACACATTCACTGCAAAGCCCTGAACTCACAAAAGCCCCACCTGCTTCCTACCAAGCATCAAATAGGTCCAGGTAATAGATATGGTCCACCTGTATTCTGCAGCCAGTCACCACTCTCTTTGAGCATTGTTTCTCTGTCTTGAGTGCCCCCTGTCTATACTTACCAAACAGGCCCCCAAGTTCACCTCAGAGCCACACTGGATCACTTGGCCCATCTGTCCTGTCCCTCTGTCTCAGCCATCAAAGGCTGGGTGCCATGACAGCCCTTGGCCCATCACTAGCTGTGTGTTGGGTTACATGCCCACTGACTATTGTCCTGTGAAACCCCTGGCCATAGCTCTTCCTACTTCAGTTCTGCTAGTCCCCAAAGATTCACAATAAAAGCTGAGTTTGACCTTCTAAGCTAGTTTCCCCTTCCATTCCAGAGCAGTCTAACTTCCCAAACCAAACACATGGGCTTACTCAAGGCCAAGCCACAGGGAAGACTAGCTCCTCCAACCCTGTACCCCCTGACCCTGGCCTGACCTCACTATTACAGGCTCCTCCCATTTTACTGTCATGACGTCCCTTTCATGGCATCAGCAGGCTTGCTTTCACTAGCATCCTCCCAGGAGCAACTGTCTAAGGCCAACTCCAGCTCTCTTCCTCCCTTTGTAAAGAATGGCAGTCCTGCCTCCTACCCTCAGCCCAGAACAATCTGGCTTAGTCTCAGCTCTTTCCTCCTAAGTCCTCTAGTCAAAATACCAACTTCCCCTTGTTCTTAAAGTTGACACTTTGCTGCCCCATAGCTCTCAGGACCCACAGTACCCTGGGCCCGTCCTCCCATCTGGCTGGAAGCATGATGCTCTCTGTAGTTCTGTGGGCTATGCTTGCTTGTGTGTTTCATCTGAGTAGGGGTCTGACTTCCACTCGCCAGAGGGTTGGCTGCCACAATGGGCTAAAGCCCTCCACACCCCTTGAAGAACAGATGCCAGAGATTGGAGGCTGCTTGGTGACTCTATGTGGGAGTCCACCATCATCCTGCCTTTGAGAGCAGTCTGGTCTCAGTTTCTATGTAGGCCCCCATCCTGGCTGGAATCTCTTCCCTGGGTGGATTGTGAAGTAGAAGTCTCACAGCTGTCAGCTGGAGGTTCCTGAAGAACTACTGGTGACCCAAAGGCCTCCTCACAGAAGAGGCAGAAACAACCAGGGGTTGCTGGGAGAAGGGTTCCTTTCAGAATCCACCGTATCATCCCACTCAGGGAGGATGACATTGTTCCTTACAGCAGGCCCAGGTTCTTTTGGGACACCAGGGCTAAGGCCTGTGGGTAACCAATTATCTGTTACTGGTTCTCTCACTAGGAAAGCCAAGGAGTCTAAACACAAGTCCTAAAACATAATATATGCTAGGCTTCCCTAGCGTGTGGCTATTCTGTGATTCAATGATAATGTATATGGCATGCACAAGGACGTAGGTGCATGTGATTCCCAACCTGACAGAGTCAATTGGGGAGGAGGTTTTGCATCTGCCAGGATTATGCCAGAGAAACAACAAATTAGAAGTACATTCGCATATATGTGAGATGGAAGTTGGCAACAGAAGTCCAGAATCTACAGTGCAGGCTGGACTTTATCAGGCAGGAGCTGACACTGAAGTCCTGGAGCAGAATTTGTTCTTCCTCAGGAAAAATAATTTTGCTCTTTAGGCCTTTCAACTGACTGGCTGAAGCCCACTCATATATTTCCAAGTTAATCTCCTCTACTTCAGTTAAACTGGTTGTAGATGTTAATCACAGCTACAAAATACCTATGAAGCCCTAGATTAGTGTGTGATTGATGAACTGGCCACTAGAGATACACACACAACTAACCAAAAGGAGAGAGGTGATATAAACACATTTACAGTACAATAGAAAAGTTGTGTTAAGGCCTATGAAGGAGAGAAAAGAAGCCTGTTTGTGGGTAGTTTGGTAGTAGAGGATAATTTGCATCTTGAGATTAAGTGACAGAAGGAAGAATCGAGACATGCAATGAAGTGGGCCCAGGTTGTTCCAGGCAGAGAGAACATCAAGGGCAAAAGCCAGTTGGGATGGGAAGGCAGCCAATGGGTAGGGCCTAGTGAGGCAGGTGGACAGACTAAGACCACACAGTGCTCTGGACACTGTCTTGATCCTACAATGGAAGCCTTCAGTCACTTCCTGGGCCATGTGGAGAATGGACCTCAGAATAGATGAGGACAGCCAATAAGGAAATCTTTTCTCTCCCTACTTCTTCCCATGGACTTCCAATGGACATTCTCCAACTCAGGAGGATCCAAACCCAACTCCTTGTAGTTTCCCCCAAGCATGAGCATGTTTGCATACAATCAAAGCTATTTATTGGAAATCTGAGGGTCCTCCAGGTGGATTTACACAATCACTATGATCCCACTGAAAATCTCAGTACAATTATTTTCTGTACATGCATGAGAAATCAAACTTACTCATCTTGGCATTTATTTAGACAAGACTAGTAAGGAAAATTCTTTTTAAAAACAGAGGAAGAAAGAAGGAAAGAAAGAGAGAGAGAGAGAAAGGGAGGGAGGAAGGAAGGAAGGAGGGAGGGAGAGAGGGAGGGAGGGAGGGAGAGAGAGAGGAAAGGAGGGAAGGAAGAAAGGATTCTGGAATTATTGAATATTAAAACATATTTGAACCAGTCATGGTGGCACATGCCACCCTGAACTCAGGGGGAGAAGTATTGCTAAGGGTATTAAATCAGTCTGGGCTACATGGTGACACTCTGTCTCAAAAACCCAAAACAAAAATTATGCTACTCCTCAGCAATGAAAAGAAATAAACTACTGATATAATCTATAGCAATTACATTGTCCTAACTGAAAGAAGCCAGCCCCTGCCTTCAAAAAAGTTTAGCTGACCTAGGATATACCCCCACATTTGCACAATAAGATCTATGATGGAGGAGAACTGATGTGGCTTTGACATGATAAGAATTCGCTACTGGGAAAAAAAATGCCATGGGCATTCAAAGATGTGTGCCCAAAATCTTGGATTACAGAATGATTAGACTCCACCCTAAATTGGAAATTTCAAGATGTCTGCTTAAAAAGCCATTTGATGGAGTATTATGCTACTGTTAAAAAATGGTACAGGATTTATCATTGGTTGGAAGTCTACGTTCCATGGCCCAAACTTGGCTGGAAACCCTTTCTAGGCCAGCCTGGACCAAATTAAATACCACAAGCAGACCATCCTGTGTAAACCCCAAATACAAAAGGAGCCTCAAACTGTGAATAGGCCTCCAGTGATCCATCACAGAAGTTGAGCCCACTCTTGTCTATCAAACAATCCCAGATGCCTTCAAAGAAAATTCTCAGAGAGACACAAAATCTCCTCACTCCTCATTCATAGGAATGCTAAGCCTGAGTGAAGGCCTCAGAAATTTGACCCCTCCCTGAAAAGAATGTTCTAAGCACAAGCCTCTCAAGAGGAGCCCCCAACAAAAGAAAACATTAGAGGATATATTGAATCTTAGAGTGGGAAAGTACTCTATACCCTCCCCTTACCAAATGACAATAGAAGGCCTCAGGAACTTGGGCCATTGGCCCTGCTACCAACTAACTACC